GAATAGCCGGTGCGATCATGCGTTTTGTGCAATTCAGCCCACCGAACGATTGCCTATTAATGATTTCCACTGCTTTGTACTTTAGACTATGCAAAAATAGTCCAAATACTGGAAAACAGTTAAATATTTCACGCACCAGCGCATGAAAGCTGAATTTAAAACCTAGAAGGGTGAATATCTTTCCGTGCTTCCCAAGTTAATAGTTTAACCGCCAAAATTCTCACGAGGCCGTAGGCGATACTCAATAGCGAGGAAACGCTGAATTTGAATGGGCAAGGCTGAGCGCGAGCAGGGGGTAATTACCCTAAAATTTCATTCTCCTAGACTCCGTGGTTCCCGAGATATTAATTTACCCGTGAAAAACTTTCACGGGGCCGTGCTTGTTACCAGAGGGTAAGGGGAAGCTGAATTTAAATTTGCGGGGTCACACGTGGGTCGGGAACGTTCCCCTAAATTTTCAGCTTCCTAGCTCTTGTGGTTCCCAAGTTGAAAGTTGCGGACAAGTTGCTGCGGACACACACAAACATACACAGACAACTCCGTGACAATATGCGTTTTGTACTGCTGTTACATAGCAAAAAACGCATAAAAATAATTGGTTCTGCATATTATCACGAAACCATCGTACGAAACAGAATGCTTGTACTGCATTACGTTAAATGCTGACATATGTAAAGGAGTCAAAACCGTAATTAGCTTGCTTGTAAACCGATTGGAGCATCCAGGTTGACCTCGAATTCCGAACTGTTGAAGGCGTATTGAACACAGGAAGCAGGAAGGAATGAGGAAAGGAGGCAAGAGTGAGATGTTTCGGTCCACTAAGTCATATACATCTTAACTCAACATTTTGTCCCACACTTTCAACTCGGGAACCACAAAAGCTAGGCGGCTGAAATTTTGGTATAGTGCTCCCCGCCAACGAGTGACGCGGCAAATTTAAATTCAGCCTTCCCTTACCCGCAGGTAACACGTACAGCCCCGCGCAAGTTTTTTGCGGATAAATTAATATCTCAGGAACCACGGAATCTAGGAGACTGAAATTTTGGGGTAGTGACCCCGACAGGACTTCGTCAGTATGACGGCTGTAGTGTTTAACGGAAAAGGAAAACAGAAACACAGAAAGAAGTAATTTTTAAGAAACCAAGAAGAGCTTTGTTGTCAGTATGTGCTACCATTTCGAGTGCATCAATCTTATAAAAAGACTGAATTATCAAAAAGTTTTACAAAAAGGTCTCTGTGGATGTGATACTGTATGATATTTCCTAAAAAACTGGGCTGGCTTATTTACTTCTGGTTTCATTTAGTACCACTTCTATTGTTATTTTAAAAAAAAATGACTAAAAATGACTAAAGCACTGTCAAATGCTTCCTTAGGAGAGTCATTGAGCGGGAAATCGCATCAGGAGACTGAGCACACGTCAGGAACGCCAGCAAGCTGACCATCCGATGAAGAAAGATGGGTCAGTACAACTAGAAGTTGTCAGTAAAATAACTGGAGACCACGTTACGAGTTGGAGCTGATCAGCTTATAAAAATAAGCCTGTGTTAATGCAAATTTCCATTTTTGTGAAGGTTTGAAATTGCGTCTAATAATTTACTAGCAATATTGGAAGTTGTGTTTGGAAGCTTTGAAAAATAACTGAAAGTATTGAAATTATGACTTAAAAAAAGCAACTGCTTCTTTAAAAAAAATCATAAAAAATTATGATCACCTGTTGAATGTGTTTTAAGAATTCCTCTTCCCAATTTTCTCTCAGTGAATCATCCAATTTCATCATTTCTCCTTCGCCCTCTTCGTCCAACTGAGCTATTGTTACGATACGTCGAAAGCTCACTTTCCCTGTAATACTTGAAACCCTATTAAACTCTAATACGTGTATATTACATTACCAAGAGAACACATGAAGACAGGTCAGCCTTTCCGTAGCATTGTGGTACTGATTCCCCTAATCACAAAAACTCAATAAAC